ACTGACGTCAGACTGAAGCTGCGTGTCCTCATCTTTCAGGACCTGGTTTCTCTCTGTAACTTTCACAACTACGACAATCTGAGGCACTTCGCCAAGAAACTGGATCCTCGCAGGGAGGGAGGAGACCAGAGGGTGAGTCCGCACCCACTGTAACTGCTCCTTGAGAATTTATCAGAGTCACATCCTCTTCCTGTGTTCGCTCGCCGTTTCCTGGACGCCCTCTGACCTCGTCTTTAGGATTTTTACCCCACGACTCCATCTGCTGGAAAATGACTGCAACAGCGTCTCTCAGGTTTTTACCTCAACAAAACCAGAATCAAGCTAAAGAGGGAATCTGTTGTTGTTCCAGGTGAAGTCCGTGATCAACCTGCTGTTTGCTGCTTACACTGGAGACGTCTCCGCTCTGAGGAGGTAAACACACATTCACATCACTCGTTCAAACGTGATTTAGTTGTTTTGTAAATCACACTGATTAAAGGTTTCTTGAGTTGTTCAGCGTTTGATATTTCATTCGTCTTCGTCCAGGTTTGCTTTATCCTCGATGGACATGGAGCAGAGGGATTATGACTCCAGGACGGCTCTGCACGTCGCAGCAGCTGAAGGTAACACGCCGAGATGGTTCATGTGTCAGAGCAGCACTTTGTAACAGTGTGTTCGTGTTCGTGGAGCTGATGTGTCGTGTTTGTGCTTCAGGACACACTGAGGTGGTTCGTTTTCTGCTGGAGGCCTGTAAAGTCAACCCGGTTCCCAAAGACAGGTAACACACAACCACCAGGAGACCATCTGTCTCCTCCACACGTAGAAACGTGAATATTATTTAGATAAACGTGTGTTCGTTTACCAAAACTTCATTAAAAATATCAATGAGCCCCGGAACACCTCTCACTGTTCTCCCTCTCTGTCCCCACAGGTGGGGCAACACGCCCATGGACGAGGCCGTCCACTTCGGCCACCACGATGTGGTGACCATCCTCCGTGACTACCACAACAAGTACAGCCCCCAGGACAGCACCGCCGACAAGCAGAACGCAGAGAAGAACCTGGACGGGATGCTCTGATGGAAGAGAAGCAGGAAGGGCATGAACTCTGAAAGAAAACCTCCAGGTAGTCAGTTTGATCCGAGGGGAAAACATTTAAGTCCTGAGAAACAACCACAGTAGAAAATATAAAAACAACCCAGATAATTAAGTGTACAGGTCAAACCTAGAAGACGGCGGTCGCTGCGTAAACGCTCCTTATCATGTCGTTGGTAGATGTCGTTTTGTATTATATTCATGTATGTAACACAAGCGGGAAATATTTTTCTGGCCGTTTCTCCTTCTGTATTTCGTTGTCAGCTTTGTAGGGAAAAAATAAAGCCACTCGTTGAATGCTGGGTAAATTTGGACTCAGGTGTCACAGACGGTGTCGTGCCCTGGTCACTTCGTCATCACGGCGTGGTGGAATGTATCCTCCCCCTCCAAAACACTTCAGCGTGTTTGTAATGTGTGCGTGGTTTTTATTTATCTATTTAAGATAAACTGTACATTCATGTAGTGTGTGTATATTTCCTGAGATGAGAAGTTGGTGTAAATACGTACGTGAATAGCTGTAGTTGTGTCTCACTGACTCATTCAGCTGTGAGCACGAGGTGTGTGACGTAGTTTTCACTAAAACTGTAAAACGTGAATCTTTCTCTTGTTTGAATGTTGAACTAAATGTTCCGCCGTTAAAGGCGAATATGATTCGACATATCCACGACGATGCTGACGGCGCTGCATTCCCGTAAAGTTCCACCGACTTCACGAGAAGCTCGGTTGTAGATTTGTAGAAGGTTCAAATATAATTGTCACACCTGAAGCGAGTTCAGTTCTTAGGAGCCTCGTAGGAATCGAACCCACGACCTCAGGACTTTCCTCAGGACCTCAGGAAAACATTCAGTCTGGACCGACTGTTCCACACACGCCCGTCAGCGTGCGAGTCGTATTCCGCAGGTCGCACAGGGAACAGAAGGGTTATGGTTTGATTTTGTGCTTGTAAAATATTTAAAGAGTTTGATGTCACCCCACAAGAAAAAACTATTAAAGGAAGATTATCTCCAGTAGCAGGACATTTGAGTTTTACTTTATTTCTAATGACGTCAGTTTTCCACTTGCTGTTTACTTCACACATGAACATTTTCCAGGAACATAAATTCTTATTTTAAATACACAACCGATAATGTTGTTTTTAAGGAGGAAGACTCACAGTTTTCACGGACGGGATCTCTGAACTGAATTTCACCTTTCAATAAAAGATATGTACAAATATAAAGTGACAGAACCTGTTAAACCTGACATAAGCTCCATGTGGATTGATACTATCTGCACCACCACCCAGCAGCATGCATTTAACGTCTTTGCAGATGATTTACGTCGATGCCGTGAAACTTAGCAATTGAGGGTTCTCGGACCCGCTCTGTCGTTACGAGGTCTTTCTTCTTTTCTTTCTAAGCAGAGGTTTGTTCTCGAGGCACATCACAGATAATGAAACGTAATGAAAGCAGTACACAGCTGAGAAAAGGACGAGCTGAAGAAGACACGTGTCCGTTTTCAGTCTTCATCTTGAAAGTCTGCTCTCATCTGAGGAGAGAAGGAAAGGACGACAGGTTAGTCAGGTGATTCAAGTGGTTTTAGCCAGTAAATCACTTTTTTAATGGAGGAAACACAAAGTCAAAGTGATGGAAATTCATTTTGAGCTCATGCAAACTGTGTTCTTCCTTTTACTACGCTTTGTTATAGTTTTTACTTCTAAGAAAAGGAAATATTAGTATCACTCTTTCATGCATTTTAGATAGATAGATAGATAGATAGATAGATAGAGTACTTTATTCATCCCCGGAGGGAAATTAAGGTGTCATAGCAGCTTGTGTATCGGAACACAAC